CGGGCTACATGGTTAATCACACGGCAGAGTACTGTTGTTCTTTACAAGTTCTGATTCTACTGCCCAGTGGATTTTCCCCCACGGTACTGCCCACCGGCTCTACCGGGAAACTGTGCCTCTTACTGTCGGTCCGAGAACTTGTGCCTCTTACTGTCAGTCCGAGAACTTGCGCCTCTTACTGTTGGTCCGAGAACTTGCGCCTCTTACTGTCGGTCCGAGAACTTGTGCCTCTTACTGTCGGTCCGAGAACTTGCGCCTCTTACTGTCGGTCCGAGAACTCGCGCCTCTTACTGTCGGTCCGAGAATTTGCCCCTCTTACTGTCGGTCCGAGAACTTGCGCCTCTTACTGTCGGTCCGAGAACTTGCGCCTCTTACTGTCGGTCCGAGAACTTGCGCCTCTTACTGTCGGTCCGAGAACTTGCGCCTCTTACTGTCGGTCCGAGAACTTACGCCTCTTACTGTCGGACAAAGAACTTACGCCTCTTACTGTCGGTCCGAGAACTTGTGCCTCTTACTGTCGGTCAGAGAACTTGTGCCTCTTACTCTCGGCCCGAGAACTTGTGCGTCTTACTTTCGGCCTGAGAACTTGTGCGTCTTACCGACGGCTCCTTGACTCAACATACTGTATCCTAGCTCGTTGTCGCGCACATAAATAATACACAGATATGTAAAATGGTTTAAATGTCACTTCTGAAATATCACTGGTTGCAAAGTCCTGTAAATATATATAAATATAAGAATTTGTTGACAATACATCAAATAAACAAATGCAAAGAGTATTATGGGCGTGCATGAGTTCACGATGCGATGGTAAACATGGCTCTTGTTGCTCCTTGCTTGAGAGGCTATTGTTGTTTGTTTGTTTGTTGAGTGGAAGGAGCAGCATGGCAGGTTGCAGGAAGTATTTGGCAATAAGGCACTAACAGCGTGCCAATTTGGCAACATTAACTGGGGACTTCCCAAGGTCTCTTATGCTTAAGCCTTTGTGTCTCGACCCCCGTCATAGCGGAAGAGGTACCGAAAGGTAGAATTCCCGTCTCGGTGTATATACCTACGGAATTGTGTTTCGCCTTGGTGTCCTTTGCCTTTCGGTGTATATGCGCAGATAGGTATACTTGGTATATATAAATATACTGGACTATTTG